TCATTTTATTTCTGTATCTGTTAAGCGTTTACAGATGAAATGTTTCTAAAGATTAAAAGATTAGCTAAGAAAACCTGATTTAATTAGGTATTTGCAAAAATTTTACTAACATTTGGCATATCAATTTGATGAGGGTTCTTCGGACTATCAAAGGTATAACAGACAGTATGGTAAGTGGTCAGTTAAAGAAGTTATTAAGCTACATATTTTCAATCTCTAATACAGTAGAAAGGACTGTTTATCGTGTATGTTCTTTTTTAGCTTAAGAATGCTTTACCTGTTACTGCCACATACATCCAAACAACTGAATGAACCCCCAGTAAACCAATACCTTGAAAGATCATAACTGCATAATACCTAAATTTTAAAAATCATAACTATTTTGCATCTGAAACAGTTTTTGTCCCATATGTCGATTTCGTAGTAGAAAATCAAATCCCTCTTGATAAGTATTTTTTTTTGCGAATTCTTCCGAGTTCAAATCGGTCACACAAAAACTCTTTAATATGCTGTTCAGTGGCACTAATCTTTTTTTTTTATTGATGGTAACATATTTTTATGAAACGTTTTCTTACTAATCGATGTCTCGAGCATCGATCACATTGCTTAACCTCAAGTGTCAACTTAATATTTGATATGATAGAGATACAAACATTAAAACATTAATTCCAGTAAACTGTTGAAAGAAGTGGTTAAGTGACGCGATTCCCAGAGCGCGAAAGACATATTTGGTCTTCATGATTCTCAGAAACACCCACTGTTTCCCTAAAAATATTAATTTTAAACTTCAGCTGTCGTTGCAGTGATTCATAAGGTTTTCTCCGCGTTACGTTTAAAAAAAAGTAATAAAATATTAATTGTACTCAAATATAAAAAATATCCCTCGACCGTACTTTCCATTGTTTAATTCCACCAAAAAGCTCCCGAATCTTACCTCCAATAAATTCTTTTACTCTTCTTTCATTTTCGAAAGCTTTTGTCATTTCAGCGATTTCATTGCTTGCAATTTCATCATCGCGATTCAAACGTTGTAATAACTAAAATTAGTTACAGTTGCTTAACCGGTGTGAAAAAAAGCAGGATTTTTTTGCTGAATCTTCTTGGAAGACTGTATAATTAAACAGCAGATTGACGAGTTTATTTCTTGATAATGTCTGCTTTGACAGTACCAGCAACAGTAGCTAGTGTTTACCTCGATTGCAGTTGGTTGATTACCGTGCTCAAAAAGCCATCTAGGACTTTCGGGAAGCCTGATCAGGCATGTGATCTCAACTGCAGCTGGTAGAGCAGTAAATCCAACCATCAATCTCCAGCCCATCAGTTCAGGTTTCCAATATGAAAATATGCCTAGGAGCATGAAATTTTGGCTTCTAGAGAATAACAATGGATATTTTGATTAAAAATAAACGACCTTAAAAAAATAGATTTTAAACGCTGTGATCCTCAGCACAAATAATTTTTGATGTATTTTTAAAATTTATTTTTTTAAAAGTATTTAATTGTGTAAAAAAAGTATCAAATTGGTGGATTAATATATATCAAAAAAATTCTTTTTTAAAAAAATAGTTACGGGAACCTCCAGCAATTGAAGCGACGAAGAAGCCAAAGGTGATCATCAATTGAAAATGTGTAACCAGAAAACCACGATATTTAGCCGGGGAACATTCCCCAATATATAGTGGCACTATAACTGAAGAAAAACCTAAACATTAAAAGTTCTTAATGCCTGTCTTTAAATCACATGCACCTGTTTTTGTATGACGATTGTATTACTTACCTGATAATTACAAATTGCTCTTATTTTCAAGACTTTGGAAAATACGTTAGTTTAAATATAAGACTTGTATAAGAGAGGCAAAAACTAGGTCTTTTAAAACGACTAAACTTTTTTAACAGTTTCTTGAACATTGCAGAATTAAACAATAATACTGATTTTACAAGTAACAGTGTCCATTTTTTAATAACCACTGTGAAACGGTATTAGTGTCCCAAAAGTCTATCAGATTATAGAGGGGCACGTCGAACAATTCCAATACCAATCCCACTATACTCGAAAACAGAACATTTAGAAAATAGTTTGAACAAAAAGTTTTTTTGTGACCTTAGCTTTGTTGGAGTAAATTAGTAGAACTTTAAATGAGAGCTTGTTTAACAGCTTTTCTTTTTTCTGAGTACTTCTCTGCATTTATGCATGATCGGTAGAATAAAAATTTTCTAAACAGATGTGAATTATGTACAGTCAAATAACCACAGCAACAACATTTAAGTTGTGCCTCAGCCCCGATGAATCAAAAATTGCCCATATAAAGTGGTTCATAGTCCAGTGACAGTCCACGAGGTATCCGTTAAATAAAACAATTTAAAAATTTTGTGATAAACATGCCCAGTGCTAAGCCGTGTAGCAATCTGCCAAACAAAAGCGTAGTTTTTGTAAAAGACGATCCACCAATGATGGAACCAAAAATTTCCATTGTGCACGACAATAATAGTACAGATTTGCGACCATAATTGTCAGCAATTAAAGACGCAATTACAGTACTTACTGTGGCAGCAGCTGAAAATACTTTAGCGTCAATTTGATAACGATGATTTCGCATAACCGTCACTTTTAAATAATTTAGCAATAAAAGGCTAGGTACTAATGTTACACTTATTCCCTGAATCATTAGATCTTCACTTCAACTCCTCGTCTTAGCAAATAGTATCTTACAGAGCGTTATCAACACTGTTTGGTGGTTAAGTGGTTAATACTAACGCTCAAAATCTTCATTACAGCTACAGATTTTCACCAACAAACTATGTACTATCTCTTAAATAAAATGTTAGCGTTTTTTTCCTTCCTTCCAAATTCACGCAAAAAAAAAAAAACGCTTAGAAATTCATTTACCCAAAAGTTGCAGCTACCTGCTGGTGCACCAACAATTGCACCATTCCAAAAATTAGATACTGGTTCCATATGAGGATCATAAGCAATAAATAACATTGCAGTTGATATGATACCCATATCATACCCCATACAAAAACCGCCTATCACAGACGAAAGACAAAGGTAAATTGCCAACGAACCGACAGAACGATAGCTTCTCACCGCATTTATCGGCTCACTAGTAGTCGATGTCTGTAGAAACGTTTTATTGTTCATCTTAAAGTATGAAATTTCTCATCATCTTAAACAAGTTTTGCTGTCGGTAATAAAACTATTACTAAAATTAAGTAAATTTTTCACGCTTTCCAATCATCTTTTATAAAATCAAAATTGATTTTTTCATAAATAATTATAGTCTTTAGGAAAGCAACTATAGAACAGGCGAATTCAAGCTTCAGATTTTCAACGTTGCACTGTTGTTTATGCTTAGAGAAAATTCATTATTATTTCTGTGTAGCAAACTAAACCACATTTAGCACTCCCAATAAAGAAAGTGTATAGTGACAGCCATTAAACAGACTGACAGAAATATCTGTGTTCTGCTGCAATTACTTTAAACTTCCGTACATTTTGTCAAAGATAAAATTTGGTCGCTAAAACGTTGAATTTTCTTGTTTCATTCAGAAAAAAACCTTAAATTTGTGGTCAGATCTAAATGCATCATTCTTCAGACCACTGTTAAAAGTTAACAATTCAATATCGACATAAAAAAAGCAATTAAGACGTTGTAAAACCAAGGAATATCTTGACTCTAAAGAGAATAAGCAAAACATTGTAAATAAGTTATGACGGTAAGTCGTTCTGATGTGCGAAGCTGTTACCAAATAATTTACTAAAAATCCAATTATTATCATCTAAAAAAACGCTGCAAAAAATTTTTTTTTAGGATCTATATGACGTATAATATTCGAGAAATTATTATTAGACTGATTCTAACAGCAAACAAGCTCAATATTCTCAAAATATTAGCATACTGATTAGTAAAAACAATAAAAACGAGACTTTTAACTGTAACCTTACCAGGGTATCTGCTGTAACAGTCATTGAGTGGGAGGATACTGTTCAATCAATGCTCAATTTTTCACAGTTATTCATTCATACAGCGCAGAACAAAATTACCAAAATATTTTGCCGTAAAATTCAAAAAACGTTATACATTGTAATAACTTTTAATCAGAACCCTAAACATGCTAGAGAAATTCAAATATGCGTTCATAAAAATAGATATTTTAATCAGTGTTTACTTAGACATTAGTATCAAGTTTCCTATAAAACTTATATGTTGCTAATAGATACTGCCAATTCCAGCTTCTCAATTATACTCGCTTTTGTTGTCACCCTAATTGAAGAACAGCTTGATCAAAAAAGACTTCATGAAATATCTAGACTCTAACCTACGTCTGAGTTGCTTGAATACAGCAGGGTATTTCCGTTCAACAAATCAGTAATCTTCCACAGTACTACTTTCAAATTAATTTTAGAAAAAGTTGATTTCTTCAAAATTAAAACACCCGTGTCTGTTACTGCGGGCAGCACCCAGCTTGCAAATCCGATACCTAATAAAGAAAAACAACTGTGACATACGACATGTTTTTGAAAGTTCCAACTAAAATCTAATCTTTGAGCTTTCAACTTCCTGAATAAAAATAAATTTTCTTGCCAAGAAACCTATAAATAATGTACAGGACGTCAGACTTACTTCTTAAACCCTCTTCTCAACACTATGTACATAAACTTAAAAATCGGTGAAATAACACGTTGTTAGTTTCTATCATATAAGAGAAATAGGCTCCACTAAGCAGAAAAAATGTAATTAATAGTGACCTAACGAATTCAAACACCAGTTGTAGTAATTTTTTCAACCATAAAAGAACACAGCATTCTAAAATGCCCACAATTCTTTTACAGCTGAAATTGTTTTCCTACACATCCTACATCTGAAAGATAGACTATTAGAAAAAAATTTACTTGTATTTTACATCGTACCCTCATTAGCTTCTTTGATTTCAGATCCTTTTTTATGATAATAGCTAAAATTCGTAAAGAAAAGCTTTCAATTAACATGTCCAAATTGTTCTGCAATTCGTCAAGTTACTCTCCTAAAAGTCCATTTACTCTAATCAAATCTACAATTAGTTGCATCTCACGTGTAACCAGAAATCTCAAACATTGTCCTGTCGAATTCCGGAAAATGAGTGACTGAACATAATTTGAACCTTTGAAAACAAACGCTTGTCTCTGCATCTTCTTCTCCTCTCCTCTTACTGAACAACACTAGGAGTCTGCGCAAGACTCACGTAACAAATTTCGTTATGAAATCTCACGAACTTACCAATTCCACGAGTTGAATAACTAATTAAAAGATCCCAGATGCAACTGCCTGTTCGTTCATAAACAGAAATATCATGAATTTACGTATTGATTAGCTGCTGCATAACCAAAAAATATTTCCTCCTACCGCGACTAGTAAATGTTCAGGTAAATTTGAAAGTGATCCCAAACCCCAGTCTACAACAGAGAGGAAAATAAAGATGAGTAGCAGAATTCTTGAAAATCTACAACTTACGCAAACTATCTTTTATTCTGGGAACTACTTTTCCTGTGGGACATTCAACAATTATGTGCAAATTCTGCATATACGGTGCATAGAAATCGTAGAAAATAATGCATGCTACAATCACTGAAGCAAAAACTCATACCCAGTTCTTGTTCATGTGTGGAACAACGGAAAAAGGTGTAAACCGTTCGAAATTACCCACTCATTCCAAACAGTACTCCAAGACACCTTCTACTAAACCTAAATATCACCTCTTATAAAAAACATGCAAGCTATTTGGGAAGAAAATAATGACTTGTACAACTACCTACTACCAGTCTGGTTTCTCATTCAATAAATAAAGAAACTTAAAATCAAAAAAAGAAGCGTGACTCATTTAACGCAATATACAAGGAACTCGCTGTAAACTTATATACATATGTGGAAAAAACGATTTTCTTCAGAAACATATTTACTCTCCATTTCGTACAGCATTTTTAAATATCATCTTTGTTTATTATCGGCACATGTAACCCAATCATAAACAGCAGGTTAAATTTCTAATAATTTTCGCCCTCCCATTTATTTACCTCAAAAAAATAATAGAACTAATCAAAATCATTATTTGTTTAAAACCTATTAATTCCAACATTAGAGTTGCAGAAAAAACGTTAAAAGCCGGCAAAAACTGCAAAACTGAGTAGTTGTACAACGTATACCATAATGTAAAACCTAGTACCCATTTGAAACAAAATACAAGACCCCGGTAATTCCGTTTGTGAATAAGGTTAGCTTTAAGCACGCCTTTATTACCAAAAAGAAAAAAAGAACTGCTATTATAACTTGCCACTGACCTAATCATTCTAAATAAAACAAATTCCGTTCGGAAGCACATCTAATCTTCAAAATTCTTAAATAGGAATGAAACAATAAATTTATTCAAAAAAATATTGAAAATTTAAAAAAGATCTTTCTTCCTTCGCCGCTCAATTACTTCATTCGACAACCTTTCCTGCTTTGCTTCCAATTTACGTATGTCGGCTTGACATTCAGATAACCTTTTCTTCAAATTTTCAGCAGTAGCATGGTCCCGACGATTCCTGGTAATACCCTCGCGTAATTTCCTTTCTTTGGCCTTCATTTCCTTCAGTTCTCGATCGAGACTAACAGCGTGTATGTTCAACTCTTTCGAGGAACTTTCCTAAAAAAAATAATTTTTAATGAAATCTTATTTTTTTAAAACCTAAATGCTTCATACTTTATAACAAATTGAAGGAGAGAATAATAAATCATAGTTAAATTGTTTCATTCATGCTTACTTTGAGTTGTTTTCTTTCTTTTTCCTTTAAATCCGTTGCAGAAACTTTGTTCGATGCGAGTTTCTCATTAATTATGTCAAAAATATCGACATCTTCTTTGGGTTTCAGCCTGCTAGCCAATGCTTGTTTGACTCGCCTTTTCCTTTTTTCAATCCCATCAATCACCTTATTTTTTTGCTCCATACAAATATCCAGAGATTTGTCTAAAGATTAAACGAAACTAAGTTTAGAATTTACATAAAACGTTAGTTCCTTAAGCAATAAACTCTAGAAATGTTGAATGTTGTTAATGCCCACCACATTTTAGGCAATAACAAGTGGGAAATCAAGTTCTCCAACTTCACTTCACAAACAGCCCTCTTCAGTCTAGTTCTACAACTAGTAACCTTAACATTTTCACTCCATTCGTCTAAGAGAGGAGTTATAAAGAAGGCCTATTGTAAACACTCCTACGCTTACATTCAACTTACTCAACCTGAAAATTACTAAAACTTCATGCAAACTTCTTCTTTCTTTCCACTTACAAAACGCTGATTTAAGCTCCAGAGTACTTCACACCTTTCGCTAAGCTTTACACCGTCAGAAATTTTGAGAGGATCCGGTTGAACACTTCTTCGCATAATATATTGAAAAGAAATGACCTGACTTCTTTTCAAAGTTATTACAATTTTTTGACAGTAAACTACGCCACAGTGGAAATATAGAAGAATATAAAACACTATTACCAAAAAATTAAATCTCAGCTAGGACTGCTTCGCCATCTAATTCCCCCCTCAGTGACAAAAAACACATCCAGCATTTTTTTGAACGCTGGCATAAATCAAAACCACGTTTTGTAAAAACTGTTATGGGATTTACAAGCATTTGATTAGACTGTAAAAAACTCGTTGCTAAAAACTCGAACAAAAGGCAAGTGTCAAATGCCATTATGAATAACTTGCTTAAAAAATAAATAAATCATCAAAACTTACTTTTAGGGTACACGACAGGCTGTATAGCATGCACAATACCGTGTGAATTGCGACCAAGGCCTTCTCCAACTTTATATCCCATTTTCAATAATAACTTCATACCTATGCCTTTTGTATGACGCTCCCAATCACCAATGTCGCCCACTTTTACATGTCCGTAACTATCGTTCTTTAACTCAGACCAACATTCTGGTACGACACATCCCACTTCATTATTAGCTGATTCTAAACGATTAGAAAATGAATCGAAGATAAAAAAAGACTGGAAACAACTTATTATACATTTCAAGTCTTTATAAAATGTCAAAAGAAGTGACTGTGATTAACTATTGAATAAATCTAAAAGGTAATTTTTTGGTTTCTGGTGAGACAATTACTGCAACTACTCGGTTCTCCGCCCTCAGGCATACACAAAATTTGGAAACAGGAAAAGGAGGTTATTTATATTCTAATATTTAGAAACAAGACGACTTCACAATAAGTTTGATTTCATTCAAAAATTTCGTTCTTTCTTCTTTAATGCATCGAAATTTAATAAAACATAATTAACAATAACAGCAATATTATCCCCACCGGCTTCGTCCTCTCCCAAACTATTGTCTTGCAAGGGCACTAATTCTCCTGAACCGCAAGAAATTTCTTTCCCCGTTGATAAAAGTTTTACTGCGTATCTCTCGCCATCTACTGCAACCACCCGACCACTGCCCCACAGCATGCGCTCGTTTCGCGCAAGTACTAGTCTTCCTTCTTCAACGTTGCTGAAACAAAGAATGCAAACTTTTTACCCAGTCAGCGTAAACTCAAACGATATTACTGGTTACCGTTAAGTATATAAGAACGCTTCCAAAAAAAGATTGGAGATTGGAAAGGGTCAAATTAATAATTAGCCAAAATTTCTTGAACAATTATTAACCACTAACTTCAAAGCACCTCCTCATTTATACGAAAAAATGATTATATACCTGAAATCGGGAGGAACATATTCTGTCAAGTCTGCGAAAGAGACCACCTCACCGTGAGAAAAACGACAATTGCTGCCGTAAGTACACCGATCATCTAAGAAATAATCACAAGGGCGCATCTTCTCTTCGATAGGATAGCAGTACAGTATAAGAACCTACAATGTCACCAGTAAATAATAAGAGAGAAAAGCTGTGCAAGTTCATTGAAAAATGCACAAAAGGAAATTCCACAGTTGTGTACGAACCTGCAGCGACTCCGGATCTGCATTTTCATTAATTATATCAAAAATAACTGCATCGTGAAGGCAAACAAGGCGATCAACCTGACGGGGATAAGGAGCTCGGCAATGCATACCAATAAGCTCTTCTTTAGTTAACGAATAATCATCCTGAGTTACTCCTGAACTTGTACCAGGCTGCGTTTGGCCAGAACTTTCCTCGTGCTGCTCTTTAAATTGAATAATTTTCAACTGAAATAATGAATGCAAGAACTAACTAAGCAATGACTAGACAAATGACAAAACAACTTACGAGAAATCAGAGAAATTAACTCCTTAAGATCATTACGCATATCCAAAAGCTCATTTCTTTTAGTCAAATCTGTGCATTCAGAAAGCTGAGCATCAATTTCTGCCAACTAAAAAGCAGGAAATATTAAATGGGAAAAGAATTTTAAAACAGAATCCTTGTAACAGAGGGAAAGGCAAAAACATACGATTTAAGAGTTACCTGTGATTCATATTCTTGAATGCTAAGCTCCTCCATAGTATTGCACCTTCAGCATAACAGATTGACAGCCCGCCAGAAAACTTCAACAAACATGACCACTTACTATTGGATAATCAAGTAAATTAAACATGCCCAGGCCCCAAAGTGGAGGAATCCCTCCGTCTAACAACTCACATTTGTAAAGAACAACTGAGTATTCAAATTAAAGGTTTCAAAAGTGGAGTGTGTTGATAGACACTGCTTACTAATAGCAGTAGTTGTCTGCCTAATTGAGCAAGCAAAATAGGACCAATAAATTAAAAAACAACTGAAATCCCCTTTTCAGAAAGTTTATACTACAGGGTAAACACAGACTTAATTAACATTTCTGTACCACAACTGTGTACAAGAAATTCCGCTTCAAAAAACAAGAGCATTGCATCAAAACTAGGAAAACCAAATGGTCGCTCAAGTTAAAAAACAATTAAAATACACCAGCTATTTAAAAAGACAATTAAAGAAGGACTTAGCATGAAATCACCTAAAAACTATAAGCACAACTGCTGCAGAAAACTATACGTAGAAAAATTTACAATATAAATCTCCCATTAAAAATATCAGAAGTATAGTCGGTCATGACTACTTGAAGTGAAATAATACATGAGATCACGTATCAATGTTAAATATACACGAATTTCGGCAAGAACACGAAAAGAGGAAGAATGTCCTTGTGAAAAAACTTTAAAAAGGCATTACGTTTCTAATCTGCAAAGCATTATGATCCGTAAAAAATGTTGCCTCAAGTTAAAAAAGCAACTATCAAACAAAATTCTTATTATCTGAATTGAATCTGCACAAAAAGTAGCATTTTACACTCAGCTCTCCATGTGCCCTAACGACCCAAACTGCTTATCCCATTCCCTATAGCTTATTAAATCCTTCTCGACAACCGTCGGACGAACGATTTTTACTGCTTCCACAAAATCTTGCAGAGAAATCGGTCGAACCTAAGCAAAAATTTTTCAATTCAGCAAAGACACCATACAAAAAATGACTCGAAAAACTAAAAATGAGAAACACGAGAACCTGTTCTAAGGGAACTGTAGCTATATCCAAACATGATGATTCTATTATGTCTCGAACCGGATACATTGACGCTTCAGCACATAACTGTCTCATATCAGCGCCGGAATAGCCTAAAAAGGAGGAATAACTTCTTACGCAAGAAAGCTATTACTTAGTTTTTATGCAAATACTACCACATAAAATCACAGCTACCCTCGGTAATATCGCCGATTTTCTTAATATCATCTTCAGAAAGGCTGTTAGACTGCGCTTTAAGAAGCGAACGCACAATCAGCATCCTCGCTTCTAAACACGGAAGAGCTATATACAGTCGCTTCGCAAACCGCCGCTTGGCAGCTTCGTCGAGTTCTTGCGGCCTAAAATTCCTCTCTTCAACTAATGCAAAAATAGCAAAATTCTCTAAAGCATTTAAAATGTGTTGATATATTTTTATTACTACGTAGCTGAGTAATAAACTACCTGTTAGTTGCACCAAGAACAAGGAGTCTTTCGTCACTGGTCGTGGCAACACCATCAAGATGTATCAAGAATTCTGTTTTTATGCGTCGAGACGATTCATGCTCGCTTCCGCTCCTGCTCGTCAGCAGTGAATCAATCTAAAGGAAGCAATTAGTTTTTGGTTTCAAGTCAGCATCATTACAAACTTAACCTAATATAAAAATATAAGAAAACAGTAACCTCATCAATAAAAATTATAGAGGGTTGTAGTAGGCGAGCAACAGCAAACAACACTCTTACTAACTTTTCGCCCTCTCCTACCCACTTCGAAGTAAGGGAGGAGGCGGCTATATTGAAAAATGTTGCTTTGCACTGAGAAGCCACGCACCGACCTGAAAAGCAGACATTTTGACTTCGTAATTCTACCACAAAAACATTTTTAACGTTACTCCTTCAGTTATAACTAATGATGGTGGTAAAATGCGAACTCACCTATCATTGTCTTCCCAGTCCCCGGTGGTCCAAACAATAATACACCTTTTGGAGGAGCCCTAATGCCGTTAAAAATATCTCTAAAAAGATTTCAATAAGGATTTTGATAAATCTTAAAAAGCAATTTTTAACCAACAAACACGCTTACGGTCTCAGGAACGGTAAAATAACAATCTCTTTTAGAGCTTTTTTAGCTCCCTCCAAACCAGCAACATCCGCCCAACCTGTGACTTCTTTATTGGACATGATCTAAAAAAAAGAAATAATGCAACAAAATGCGAAAATGAAATCAAAAAATTACGGGAAAATAATACAGAGACAAAATGAGAATATAACAGTAGTCAGAAAAAAAAAATCTTGGTCAATGAATAACTAAAGATCAATGTATACTTCAGATTCAATAAGATCAATTATGTTGTCGTCAAAGTGTTTCAACGACTCATGTGCTCTCCACCCGCTTTTTTTACACCCATCACTTTTTGTGTTGGTCTTCGATGGCCCAGCGCTTGGCGACAAACTTCGTCCACTACCTGCTTTCACAAGCATATTTGAAGGTCTAAACTGGGCGTCAGAAAAACCAAGCCGCCTATAAAAACTCAATAAACTGACAGTACTTGCTTGAAATTAGAAAAGAAAAACTAGAAGGTTAACAGACAAAACGCCTGACAAACACTAACTTTGACCCAAGGTACCGACTTTTTTCAATAGTTCCTTCATTAATCTCATCTACCTAAAATTATATAAAGGTAGAACCAAAGAACGAGTTTACAATCACACACTAGTTTACACACTAGTTTACAATCACAAAATAATTACATATATGTAAAGTTTCAAGAAAATGTGTGAGATAATGCAAAGTTATTAAAAAGACACTTACTTCATTAGTAGTAACCTTACGCACTTCCTTAACTACAGGACACCCACTGGCCATTCTAAACATTCACTCTCGTGCTTAATTAACAGGAAAAAAAAGAACAAAAAATCGGGCCTTCTAGCGGAGGAAAACAGCACTTTACCTGAAGGATGGAGGCGAATTTGAGGTGGACTTTCCATTAGGGCTTCTTTTCACTTTCGAACAGTGCTTCACGCATGGAGAAGCAGAACCCGTTTCGTCCTGCGAAGCACAATTTCTAAAAGGGGGTTTCTCAGCACTTCTCGATGCTAACTTAGAAACCTAAAAAAATACCCCCTTCTAATATACAAAAATTTCCAAAGAGACGACTAAAAAATTTCATGTAAGAAGTAGTTCTATTTGAGAAAGTCAGTCATATGGCTTGAGAGGCACAGGAAACAAAAGAAATTTAAAGTGTGGAGATGATATTCATTCACTTCTGACATTCAACTTCCTTTAGACAAGAATCCTTACAAATAAGTACCGTTACAAGGAAGGAACTCAAGAGCAAAGAGAGATCAAAGTAAATGACTACCAAATAAAACTAATATTTAATCGGCATAAAGCATACTTTTGATGAATTCAGTATTTTTCTTTGCTCTTCTAAAATTCGTGGATCTTTACTGAAATCAAACTGGAACCCATTCTGACAGGATCTTTGCGATCTAAATGCCTGCAACAAGAAGTTATGAAAGGCACCATAAAATTAAAGGTCAGAAAAGTTTTGACAAGATCAACAGCGCCACACTTATCATACCGGAATTGAGCCCGATGTACTCTCATCGTCCGGAGTTCTCTTCCTTTTTTTCAGGAAGGACATGGTGGTTTGTCGGAAACGTTTCTGTTCCACTTTCGGTGAACCACTACACATTTATGTGTATAACAATTTAAGTTCCGTATAAAGAAAACCCTAGTTCAGTCTGCCTACAACTATAGGGAGTTGTACAGCGACCAAGTAAAGAAGAACACTGGATTCAAACGAGCATGAAAAGTGACTTTGGCAATTTGTCAAGGCGCGAAATTCTTCTGGGTATTTCCCTACGGACAAACAAAGTAAGCACGGAAAAAGAGCACAACAACCGTTACAGTTCTTTTTCGGAAGCAGTTGTCTTCCATTAACGGGGCCGCTCGAAGAACGACTGAAACCTTGTTGGTACATGGTATTGAGCATTTTTCAAACTCTATTCTTTTTGTTGGCGAATTAACGTCGGACTTGCTATAAAATTTTGCTTTCATTTGCCTGGTACAAAAAGAAAATTGATCTTTGTATGTGCTGCTTTACCACAGTAAACTTTTCTTCGAGGTTAATTACATTGTTTGCAACAACTGAATTTACAGCTCCGCTTTTCCAGCAAAAAGTTTGACAAGTGAACTTCTGAAATTTACTGTAGGGTAGATGTTTTTCTTCAAAATCTATTCGAAAATAAGCTCTGCATTAAAATAATTAAAGTTTCAATGGGCTTAGAAAAATAACATAGTTTCATCATCAGCGATTGCGGAAAAGAAGTGAATTTGATTGATCGGTATTGGAAAATTGACTATTAGGACTGATAAGTCGTGTACGTCTCAACGAACTGCTAAAACGAGACTGACATAGATATAGGTGTTATAATTACTGGAAGAGTCAGGGAGGAAATTTTTTATTTGGAAAGGTGATAAGACTCAGAAAATTACGGTATTATTCAAAATATACAAAATTGATAGAGAATTAAGAAGTACATTTTTAGTAAAAGAATTTTTTCACAGCTAAACAGTCCCAATTATCACCTTAAAAGGTTTTTTTTTTT